TGCACAGGGCACAGATTCTAAACCTGGTGGGGGAACTAAGATCTCACATGCCACACGTCCAGAAAATTTTTTAATTAATTGAGTAATTTTTTTAAAAGAATTAGAACTATAATGAGCAGACATATGACATACAAAAAGTAGGAGTCTTTTAGGAGAAAGAGAGGAATTAGACTTAGCTGACCCCATAAGACCTAGCAACAGTCAGTTGAAAGTGATGCTGGTGCACTTTGAGCCCCCAGTGTGATGGTGTGCATGTGTGTGTTCAGTCGCTTAGTCATGTCTGACTCTTTGAGACCCCATGGACTGTCAGACTCCTGTGTCCACGGGACTCTCCAGACAAGAATAGTAGAGTGGGTTGCCTTTCCCTCCTCCAGGGGATCTTCCCAACCCACGGATTGAACACGTGTGTCTTAGGTCTACCTGCACTGGCAGGCAGGTTCTTTACCACTAATGACACCTGGGAAGCTGCAGTGTGGTGGTAACTGCTTCCAAATGTAGACCCAACAACCTACACCTCGAGCCAAGTGCAGAGCCAGAAAGAAAGCTCTCTATGGATCAAAGTCAAACTCTCAGAATTAAAAAAAGAAAAAGAAAACAACAATAAAAACCCTACAAGGATAGTCTTGTTTAGTCTAAGTAACTTTAGTCCAAAAGAATGTCAATCCAATGCCTGTCCAGGGAGAACCACACTGGTCTGTGAGACTAGCTTAAACAAGTCTTAAAAGGTCTATGCCTGTATTTTCTTTTATAACAAACAGCATTTCTAGCTATCACAACACAAAACAGAAGTAGAAAAGAGAGCAAAAACAGGATTAAAAAATAAAAGAATGGCCTGAATCCACCAAAGATGTCAAACGAATGGAAACCAATAACAAAACGGGAGTATCAAACTGCGAGTCAATAGCCAAAGAACTCAAAGCAAAGAGCAGAGTTCAGACCCAGTGCTGAATCACCAGGTCAACACATATAACTGGCCCCAAGGGGCAGCATTCCATGAAGGCTGGAGTTGGCAGTGACAGGCAGTGCAGACATCTCCATGGAACTTTCAGGAAAACTATGAAAATAAAGAAATAAAGAAAATAAAGACCACCCAAAGAAAACAAACAGAGGTTATTTATTCAGAGTTTGCTATAGTGAACCACCACCTGTGTTTGGCGGATATTCAAAGGCAGACAGGAAAGTGGGAAAGCTTTATACAGAAAAAAGGACATTTTCAGCAGCACTCTGATTAGATCTTGATGGCATGGAGAAGCTAGGGTCGGGTGTATTTTACAGTTTGTGGAACATATTTGGCTTCCTCTGATTGATCCTGAGTTGGAAGCAGAGCTAAATTTGGAGAAGTTGACAGTCATTGACCAAGTCCTGACTGTTTGGGGCCATTTGGTAATTTGTGGTTTGGTTTCCTGGACTGGCTGTGGGTCAGTGGTCTCTTGTCCTATATGGTCTGGCCATTGTCTGTATGTTCAGTCTCTCACAGTGAAACCTCAGCATTGTAGATATTTTTAAAACCTGGCTGATTGACCATGTTTCATTTTTTAGCTTGAATTTTAACTGTCATATCATAATATTTGGTTGTATTTTTTTATTTTATTTTTTATATTTTTATTTTTATATTTTTGAATATAATTTCAATCATATTCTTCCTCCCTTTTATCCTTACAGCAATCTTGTGATCCTGGGGAGGTTAATTACCTAAGGTCAATCATTGGATTGGGGCTTGAATTAGGAGTCAGTCATAGCATAGGCTGATTTACAATATAACACTCAAGTTGTCTGGTATAGATATCATCCATAAAGGCTTTAAAATAGATTTTTTGGGCTCTATATGATAAAGGGTCTGTTCAAATTGCTTCTAAATTCATTACTTAAAATTAGGATAAAGCCTTGAAGAGTCATAGCTCCCTTCAAATACCTACAAGGCTGTCATGTGGAAGAAGGATTAGGTTTATTCCTGTGGCTCCAGACAGCAGACCTCACACCAGTGAAGAGAAGCATATTTCTATTTAAAATGTGAAATATCTATCTAGTAATGAGACATGCCTTCTAAAGAGGGCTTCCCTGGTGGCTCAGACAGTAGAGAATCCTCCTGCAATGCAGGAGACCTGAGTTTGATCCCTGGGCTGGGAAGATCCCCTGGAGAAAGAAATGGCAAACCACTCCAATATTTTTGCCTGGAGAATTCCCTGGACAGCGGAACCTGGCAGGTTACATTCCACGGGGTCACAAAGAGTTGGACACGACTAAGCAACTAAGCACAGCTCACAGCTCTTTAAAGAAGGGACCACCTTGTAACGGGCCAATTCCTCATCTTTCTTAGTGTTTGAGTAAGACTCCATGATCCTTGGTTCAGTTCAGTTCAGTCGCTCAGTCGTGTCTGACTCTTTGTGATCCCATGGACTGCAGCACGCCAGGCCTCCCTGTCCATCACCAACTCCCGGAGTTTACTCAAATTCATGTCCATTGAGTCGGTGATGCCATCCAACCATCTCATCCTCTGTCATGCCCTTCTTCTCCCACCTTCAATCTTTCCCAGCATCAGGCTCTTTTCCAATGAGTCAGTTCTTAGCATCAGGTGGCCAAAGTATTGGAGTTTCTGTTTCAGCATCAGTCCTTCCAATGAATATTCAGGACTGATTTCCTTTAGGATGGACTGGTTGGATCTCCTTGCAGTCCAAGGGACTCTCAAGAGTCTTCTCCAACACCACAGTTCAAAAGAATCAATTCTTCAGTGCTCAGCTTTCTTTATAGTCCAACTTTCACATCCATACATGACTACTGGAAAAACCATAGCTTTGACTAGATGGACTTTTGTTGGCAAAGTAATGTCTCTGCTTTTTAATATGCTGTCTAGGCTGGTCATAACTTTTCTTCCAAGGAGCAAGCGTCATTTAACTTCATGACTGCAGTCACCATCTGCAGTGATTTTGGAGCCCAAAAAAATAAAGTCTGTCACTGTTTCCACTGTTTCCCCATCTATTTGCCATGAAATGATGGGACCAGGTGCCATGATCTTTGTTTTCTGAATATTGAGTTTGAAGCCAACTTTTTCACTTTCCTCTTTCACTTTCATCAAGAGGCTCTTTAGTACTTCTTCGCTTTCAGCCATAAAGGTGGTGTCATCTGCATATCTGAGGTTATTGATATTTCTCCTGGCAATCTTGATTCTAACCTGTGCTTCACCCAGCCCAGCATTTCTCATGATGTACTATGCATATATGTTAAATAAGCAGGGTGAAATATCCATGATCCTACACCTCTAGCAAGTGCTTGAACTGGCCAGGCCAGTTGAACTCAAAGGAAATTACAAACACCAAGTGTATGAAACTTTTTTAAGTTATAAAAAGAGACATAGACATTTTAAATACAGCAGTTTAACATCACTCAAATTCTGCTTGAAATTATGTCTCTCAAAAAAAAAAGAACATCAGTTCTATTTTAAACTTTACCCCCCAGACTCTTCTTTGAATGAGCACTTTTGTCCTCGTGCCCATATATTTTCAAAAACATTTTTAAAGTAAAAAATGTTTTTAAAGTCCTAATAGGAAGTCATCTAAATCAATCTGCATTGTTTTCTGATCACACAGTTACAACTGTATATCAAATGTATCACACTCATTTTTTGATGTCTTAATAAATTGTAGGAATTTAATGAGGTTTAAAAAAAAGAGAGAAACCCTTTCCATTGAATGATAAATGCTGGGATTTTAATCTGCAATCTTAACTCTTGGAACATGATCTTTTTTCTTCTTTGTGGCTTCTTTTTTTAACGTTCCCTCAGGTTGATTTCAATTATATTCTCTTCCAGTTTACAAATAACTTGAAGCTGAAATGAAACAGAGTCCTCCTAAACTGGGATTATCTGGTGCTCTAAAAGGACTTGCTGGAGATCCTCTCCTCACTCCACTCTTTTTTTTTATTATTTTACTTTATTTTTAATTCAAGGATAATTACTTTACAATATCGTGGTGGTTTCAACACACTCTTGACCTGCCTCTTCATTGTTTAAATTGAATATCCTAATTTTTGCCTGAAGGGTATTTCCTTTTGTTTTGGGGTTGTGGTTTCTCTCTTGAAAAACAATACAGAATCCTGGGGATTCTGCCAATCTGAGAGTCACTGCAGAGACAAAGTAGACCCGAAATTAGAGCAGAATGTGTGTCCTCTGCATAAATCCAGTTGCTCTGGTCTTCTTGACAACTTCCGGGACTCGACTTACGTCAATGTTAAGACTGTTTTCTTTACTATATTTATTTTTTTATGACTGTACATATTTACATATGTTCCGTATGGCGAGGGAGAGAAAAAGTGATGACGTGAGGCTCCTTGAGATTAGGAGGTGATAAGGAAATAAAGCAGGTGACTGGAAAGGGAGAACTGGGAATTCTGTTAGAGAAGGGAGACTTGAGAGTTAATAACCATCTCTCAGACGAGCAGGAGTTCTCTGCAGGTAGCAGACTGGAAATGCGGACTCGTGCACCCTCTTGGACAGGCTGTGTTGCTTTCTGTTCCTTCGCTTGCAGGAAGGTGCATATTTATTTAAAACGGACTGAATTTCCTGCTCAATGGCAGGTCTTGATTCCTCAAGACTAGTGGGTATTTCCTTTTAATGTTTCCAATTCTGTTTTTTTTTTTCTTTTTGAGGTTGAGGGGGAAGAGATCGGTTGAAATTCTGGTTGGCTAAGTGAGAGATTCTCAGAAATGAGAAAAGGGGGAGGAAACGGACTTAGAAGGCGGCAGGAGCCCCCGGTCTCCCCCCTTTGCTGTGCACCCACTACCTCCACCTGGTGACCTTCCGTGGAGACCCCAGGAGGCTGTATCAATATTTGATCAGCCTTTCGCCTGCGCGTTGCCAGCACCCTTCGGCGGGACTTGCCAGGCATCGCCAGCGCGGCGCTGAACACAGCGCCGTGGCCGCCGGGGGCTTTGGGAGGACCAGCTCTGCGCTCGCCCCCTCCCCACGGGCTTCTGGGCTTGGCGGCCGCCGGGCTGCGGCGCCCACCATGCACGGTTGCACGCGGCTGGCGCTGCTCTGCGCGCTGCCCTGGCTTCTGCCGGCGGTGGCACCCGGGCGCCCAGCACCACCCGCAGCGCTGCGCCGCGACCCCCGCAACCCCGCCAGGGGCGCAGAGTTCGATCACATCTACAGCGGGGTGGTGAGCCTCCCCACCGAGAACATCTACTCCTTCAAGTACACCAGCCAGCCCGGCCAGGTAAGACACTCGCTCTCCGCGCTACCAGGAACTTGCCCCGCCACTGCTCTGGGTCTCCGGGGAGTCGCCCTCGGGAGACCTCAGGGACCACGGAACCATCGTTCCCTTTCTCCTTCAAAGCTGTCATTGCCCGAGCTGCCGCATCCTCTGCCGCCGGCCTCGGGGACAACTTCGCCTCCCCTCGCGCCGCCCGGGCCTGGTCGCGGGCGTTACTGGGCTTTGCAGGGGCGCCGGTTCCCGGCACCGTCTGCGGGTCTCGGTCCCCTGACCGGCTCTTGTCTAGGGAGGTCACAGTTTTTAAAGCTGTGAAGGAAAATGACCACACCTCTGTTCCCAAGCCCCCGTGAGGAAGGAACCTCATCTCTTTTGGTTGATTCTGTCAAACCCTTGTATTCCATAGCGCCTGGGGAGGGAGAGCTGCTCAGAATCTAAAATGGGAATGTGTGAGAATGGACGAGAGCTGCAGAACCTCTGTGTGTGTGCAAGAGCCACTGCTTGCGTTTCTGTATCGTCGTCACACGCATGTGCTTCAGAGAAGCCAGATGACCTGGTCAGAGATACCAGAGCTGAAGCCCTCAGCCGATCTATGGAGGTTTTGAGTTTATTTAAGGATGGATAATTCAGTGCAAGTTCTAGACCTATTTCTGACCAAAGTTGAGGTGAGACAAGGGAAGGAAAAGACTGTTCTAGCATCTATCCCTTTGACACGTATACTCTGGTTGTACCATGTGAGAAAAATGCATAGTTAGCTTACCCCCTCTAACACAGTGCCCTTTGAGGCACAGCAGAAAAACTCCCCAGTCTACCTGCCTCCCATTCTTCTTCACATAAACGTCTGTGGATGAATGTGTGTATGAATGTATACATTTGTATAAATGTATATGTATCCCTTGCTGTGCCAGCATTCCCGACTCCCTCTGGAAATTCAGAACTAGACTAAGATACCAAGATGTGCCTTCCTAACTCTCACTTAGGATAGAAACTCAGAAACCTGGTAGCTTGGAGTAGTATTGAGCCAGAGGGACCACTGTGTCCATCACCACTCCCAGACATTTCCCCAGTGTGTGTACTGAGCAAGTGCTCCATCTCCTCTGGCACCAGATCCTAAGCTTGGTCTTCACCATGGACCATGTCACCATATTCTTACCCTGTCCTGTCCCCCACGGACCTTCAGGTTGTACATCCTAAAGTGAGCAGAGTGGTTATGTGCACAGCTGTTCCACTGTAGACAAGAGGGGGAGAGTGTCAGTTTTTACTCCTTACATTCCTCCTAACCCAGTTCTTCTGGTTGGGTGTGCTGTATGGGTCAGCTGACATTGCATTGAAGTATGTTCCCAGCCCTGTTACTGGCTCAGAAAAAATAAAAGTCTGAAAAATCCCATGATCTCTGGGGTGTACTGTCAGTTTCCCTCTAAATCATTGGTAAGGAAACTCAAATGACAGATGCAGAGTAAGATCTAGCATCAGGCTTTAATAGTTCTTACACTTCCGCTTAGAGATAGAGTGACTTTTTTTTAACTGTTGTTTGGACCTTTTTACCCATAGTATTCAGTGAGTTTGTCTACCACAGCACAAGTCACACTGTTTGCAGTTAGGGTCACCTACTTGACTGTCCCAGAAAACCATGAGATATTGATACTTTTCTGTATCTGTATTGCTACATTCTCTCCACCCTAGTACCTAGCACAGTGCTTGGCAATAACAGTTTACTAATGTTTTTTAAAAAATGAATAAACAGGTAGAAAAAAAACTTAAGGAATATTTAAGCTACAACTAAATAAAATATGTGCTTTTTAGTAGGTTGACTGTGAGATCATTTCAGATAAAAATGACATTTTTAAAAATTGTTCTGAGGTTATGCTCTTCCTATTTTGCCTTTATGTATACTAAAATGCCCTTTATTTTGTGAAACATTGGTGATAATTAGTTTTTAAAATATCTTTGCATGATGCAATAAAAAGCTGACAGTCCCTAAATTTTACTAGTCTGGGAAATACAGTGGGGGACCATGGGACTCAAGTATTTTAAATATTTTAATGCCAATATGGAATAATATGAACCAGATGTCCTCAAATCGTACAGCCTTCTGAAACTTCTCTTTAATGTGCAAATAAGACAGTGGAACCCTCAATCCACTTACTTCGGAAAATTGCCCTTCTCTCTCTCCAGTCCACTATTCCAAATGCTTTCTCCAGAGATGTCATTTTTCTGACCTAGCCATCCAAACCATTATTCTGTTTCTCTGGGTGGCTTCCTCTCTTCTTTGGTCCCTTTGGAAACCAGCACCCCCTTCTTATAATACCATGAATAGAATCCAATTGGATATAGCAGAATTTTACTGAAGGTTTGGAATAGCATGATGGAACTGAATAGCTGAGTAGCTGATAGATTAAATCAGAAAGTAGGTGACAGACTTTATTTTTTGGGCTCCAAAATCACTGCAGATGGTGACTGCAGTCATGAAATTAAAAGATGCTTGCCCTTGGAAGAAAAGTTACAACCAACCTAGACAGCATATTAAAAAGCAGAGACATTACTTTGCAAACAAAGGTCCATCTAGTCAAGGCTATGGTTTTTCCAGTAGTTATGTATGGATGTGAGATTTGGACTATAAAGAAAGCTGAACACCAAAGAATTGATTCTTTTGAACTGTGGTGTTGGAGAAGACTCTTGAGAGTCCCTTGGACTGCAAGGAGATCCAACCAGTCCATCCTAAAGGAAATCAGTCCTGAATATTCATTGGAAGGACTGATGCTGAAACAGAAACTCCAATACTTTGGCCACCTGATGCTAAGAACTGACTCATTGGAAAAGAGCCTGATGCTGGGAAAGATTGAAGGTGGGAGAAGAAGGGGATGACAGAGATGGTTGGATGGCATCACCGACTCAATGGATATGAGTTTGAGTAAACTCTGGGAGTTGGTGATGGACAGGGAGGCCTGGTATGCTGCAGTCCATGGGGTCAGAAAGAGTCAGACACAATTGAGCAACTGAACTGAACTGAGGGGATAGACTGAATCAATATGTAATAGATGAAATCTAGGACTTCCCTGGTGGTCCAGTGGTTAAGAATTCTACTGCCAGTGCAGGGGACATGAGTTTGATCCCTGTTCTGGGCAGATTCCACATGCCAAGGAGCATTGAAGCCCATATGCCATAACTACTACACCAAGCTCTGGAGCCCATTCTTTGAAACAAGAGAAACTACCACAGTAAGAAGTAAGAATCCCACTTCTTACCACAGTAAGAAGCTCACCTCAACTAGAGAAAGCCTGTGCACAGCAACAAAGACCTGGTGCAGCCAAACTTAAATAAATAAATTTAAAAAATTTTTAAATATACCCTTTTAAAAAATCTGAAATCTAAGCAATACTGTCATAACAATTTACCAGCTATTCCCCCCACCAGAAGAAATGTCAAGATAGTAGCACTATTTTCCAAGCCCTGGCTTGTTACCACCTTTTTGGCCACCCATCACCCCACATGCTGGCCTCTCAGTCTCTAAATTTTTGTTACTGTCTCACATCAAGCAGTTTTGCCTCCATCACCAACTCCACACTCACTAAAGAACTCTGTTAAATAAAGTTCTATGAACCCAAGAGCAGAAGCTGTGGGGCTGCCGGACCTGGGTTTCAGTTTCCCGTGAAATGGTGGGATTCCCCGCCCCCATCAGGTAACCTGGAGCCAGCCAATCAATATGCGCCCAGTAAGAAACAAAGGGAGAGCTAAAAAGCCCACGGACACCTAAGTTTGAACAAAAGCCCACGAAAGTTTGTACCAATAAAATTGCTTTGCAAACATGTAACCAATCCGCTTAAGTCAGCTACTAACTGCTTATGCATACCTTATAAATTTGGGTAACCGCCTCTGCTCAGGGCTCTCTGACCCTGTACCACTGTGTTGGACGCGCGGCAGGAGCCCTGATTCGAGTCAGTAATAAACTTCCCTTTTTTGTGAGTTGCATTGTCTTGGAAGCCTTCTCTCTTCCCGCTCGGGGATTCAGACATCGGGCATAACATTTGGGGGCTCGTGCGGGATCCCTTGACCAGGGGAAGAGAACACTTCCAGGACAGAGGGGAAGGATAGATAAAAACACCGGTGATCAGGCAGAACAGGAAAGTCCAGTGTAAATCCGAGGCCCTGCTGGAAAGCAGGAAGGTATCTGGCACAGAAAAAAAGCTTCCTATAAAGGGGAGCGAGCCAGCATAAGGCCGAGGCCAGCGGACGCGCTGGGAGGCAGCCGATTCTGTGGGAAAGAAAGTTACCCCAAGTCTGGTGAACAGTGGACGCCATTCGGTAAGGTGAACCTGCTACCGGGAGGCAAGAGAATTCAGGGGGCCCGAAACCCAGCGCTATGTTATTGGCCGACGTTTGTCTGTCTGTGTGTCTGCCTTCGGCTCTCCGTGTTTGTGTATTTGTGTATGCCGGCATTGTCTCTGGTCCTCCTCCTTTTGAAATCTTTAAAAATGTTATTTATTTAAATTTTATATTGTAATATCTAAATTCATGACCAAACTTAGAAAATGAAGATAGATCTTGCACTGTGTCTGTCTAAATATGTCTTTTTCTCTAGAAAATATTTTTAGGTTAATTTGTAAATGAGCTCTATTTAATTGGTTTAAGAAGGAGTAAGCGCTTACAAATCAAATAATTCTAAATTAAACAATAAATTCCAGGTTCAGGTCAACTGGGAAATATTCAGTATTAAATACCTGATATTAATGTTTGTTTGTTGACCTATCTAATATAGACATGTCTTAGAGTAATTAACATCAAGTAAAGTATTTTCATTGTACCTAGGTTTAATATAAGTTAAATATTATGCCTGTTACAGGTTTGTAGACAAAGAAATTACCTCGAGAAAAAAAGTTCTAAAAGGTATAAATGAGGTATGAGTTTGTATATAAACTCTATTAAAAATAATTATTCTTTAAGAATATCTGTTTAAAATAGTCTCTCCAGATTGGTGTAACTGGAATTTCTAAGAGTTGTGCTAAACT